TACATTGCCTTCTGACTCCCAACGTGCTAACTGCATCTCCCATAAGTATTTTAGCAAATAAAAACTTTGTTTAGCACATGACTCTGCGGAGTGGGATTCCTAACGGCTGGTAGAACCTTCTTTGCCCATCTCAACACAGCAGAGGGTATTACATAGTAAGGACGTGAGCCTGCTACCTCCGTGAGGATGGCCTCTGGATCCCACTTCATCCTAATTACCTGCCTCAGGTCCCCCCACCTGCAAATACTGCTAACCTTAACTCAGGGGCAACGTTTATAAAACATCAGGTTTTGGAGGACACATTCAAATCAGAGTACCATCTGTTCAGTTTCTAGTAGTGTGTCTGGGAGTCAGGAATCACATGTGAAGTCCCAGAAATGTAGCAGCAACCAAATGTATGTGGTCCCAGTTCCCAAGAAAACTTGGCACTACATAGTTTTGAGGGTGGCAAACAACACTACTTCCTAAAGGGACTACCAAACAAAACAAACAAAAAAATTGAAAAACTACTAGTCAGCTTAAGTAGTCAAGGGAAGTGAGATTACAACAAACAGTCCCAAATTGTCATTTTTCAGCAGAAGACGAAAGCTCTTAAAAATTACAGGACATAATGCTGGGGGTGCTAGAAGATACATTCTAGGAAAGAATGTGGCCGCATATAAGTCTAAGATCAAGATACAGGATACAAGAGGAACTACAAAGACCTCCCCATCTAACGTCAGGGCACTGGGTCCCTGGTCCCTCTGAGGACCCCATGTGAGGTTTATAACGGGCTGTCCAGACAGACACAGGAGTCCAAGCTTTCAGACATGGAATGGGTGGGTATCTGTGGGAGTGGGAGTGGAGGCTAGGAATGTCATTACGTGGGCATCAGCAGTATCATTCCAGTGAAGGTGTTTAACTGTGTGTGTGTGTGTGTGTGTGTGTGTGTGTGTGTGTGTGTGTGTGTGCGCGCGCGCATGTTTAACTTAGGTTAGAATCTTCTTGAAACCCATAGGAACCCATCTTTGGAGGGCTTCAGTCAATCCAGCTGACTTGTCCAGTTTGAACCTGAGAGGGGGTGTGTGGATTGAGAAAATGGCAGGTAAAGATACTAAGGAAAAGACAGACACAGAATAGAATCCAGTGAATATTGAGCACCCCAAGTTTATTCTTCAATCTTCTTATATACTCCAACCAAAAAGGGGAAATGGTAAAAGCCTTTTTTTTTTACAGTGATACAAGGAACAAACAGACTTTCTTCCTTAATTCTCCAAACATTTAGTAACCACACCTTAGTCTAAACCTGTGGTTATCTGGCCTTGAGGATTGAGGGTGACCGCACCTCAGACAAAAATCTCTTGTTATTTAGGTAAGACATCCATCTTAGACCAAACATCCTGCAGTAACCCCATTTTAGATCTTTAGGTCTTATGACTTTAACCTTGGAAGAGTAAGGATAGTTTTGAACACTCTGACCTTAAGGCAAGATAAAGTGGAATCATTTTTATGGGTCCCGACAGAAACCCAGACCTGTGGAGAGCATATATTCATTTCCTATTTCCCCCCCCATGAGCTAAGTTTGAGGCTGTGTCAGGAGAGAGCATCCCTTCCTCCAAATACAGTAAACTCAGCGGTAAGGAGCAAGCAAGGGGGCGCAGACAGCTGCAGAGGCAGGAGCGGATGGAAGAGGACACGACCCCCGATCCCCAGTTCTGTGGTGCCTGTGTGACAAAGCCTGCTGAGAGCCTGGAGTGGTACAGAAGCCCCCAAGAAGATCCCCCAGCACCCCCTCCCCCACTGAGCACAAGGCACAGAATCCCACAGCTGTATGAACATGGAGTTGTGGTTCCCTTAGGTGACTCCATTGAGCCCAAACCTAAACCCTGCTCAGAAGCTCTCTAGGTTGGCTGGCTGCTCAACAGTAGACAGTGTGTCCATTACAGGTACCACTGACTGTTGTGTAATATCACTTTAGCTGTGTAAAGATGTGTGTCATTTGTTTCTGCTGCATTTGTTTAATAATGAAGAGATGTGTTGCTGTTTTACCTTGCCTGCCTAAGGCACCTGATTGGTCTAATAAAAAGCTGAATGGTCAGTAGCTAGGCAGGAGAGAGACAGATGGGGCTGGTGGGTAGAGAGAATAAGTAGGAGAAATCTAGGTTGAAGAAGAATGAAAGGTAGGAGAAGAAGAAGAAAAGACGAGGAGAAGGAGGAGAGGAAGAAGGAGGAAGAGAAAGAGGAGGAGAAGGAGGAGAAGAAGAAGTAGAGGAGGAGGAGGAAGAGGAGGAGGAGGAGGAGGGAGAAAAAGAGGGACATGCCCAAGGCCAGAAACCAGGGAGCTGCCAGACGACAGACAGACAGACACTGGAGTAAGCAGGAAGGAAAGACATACAGAAAGAAAGGTAAAAAAAAAATCTCTGAGGCACAAGATAGATAAAGAGAAACAGGTTAATCTAAGTTAAAAGAGCTAGCCAGAAACCTGTCTAAGCTAGGCTGATCATTTATAATTAGTAAGTCTCTGTGTCATGATTTGGGAGTGTGATGGTGACCCCAAAGAAAAAGCCTTGCACAACTGACCTCAGCCTTTACTCTTTGTCTACACACTGCATCCAAAACTCAATAGAAAATCATGATACACACACACCCCTAAATAAAACATTAGTTCCTCTCACAATTAGCTGCCAACTGCGGATGAAGTTGACGGTTTCCTGACTACAAACAAGGAATTCAGACCATTGTTGAGGGATAAAGCAAGTCACAGAAATAGAATCAGACCTGAATTAGAAAACTGGGTTTCTAGACAGATAATAGAGTTTCCTTCCCGCCTGGCCCCGCAGATGGTTAGCCCCAAATAAACACACAGAGACTTATATTAATTATGAACTGTTTGGCCAATGGCTCAGGCTTCTTATTGGCTAGCTGTCTCTTAATTGTTAACCTGTTTCTGTTAACCCGTGCATCTCCACGTGGTTTTGGTTTACCGGAGAATGCTCCAGCATGTTACTCTTTCAGCGGCTACATGGCATCTCTCTGGCAACTCCTCTCTGCTTCCTCTCCCCAGAATTCTCTTCATCTCATAGCCCTGCCTGTGCTTCCTGCCTCCTTACAAACCTGGAAGCTCCCACATTCTCTGGAGCCTTATGTATGTGTTCAATTAATTTTTTCTTAGATTTTCTTGCAGCTTCTCTAGGCTCTAAAACAAATTTCTCTCAGTTCCCATGGCCATGGATTATAGCAATGACATATTTCATATATTCTTTTTGTTTGAAGGTTTATTTATTTTTCTCGCAGGGTGTCATGTAGCCTAGATGACCTCAAGCTTGCCTTGTACCCCTGATCCTCCTGCCTCTGCCTCCCAGATTCTAGGATTACTGGCTTGTACCATTGTACCACCATGCCCATCTCGAGTTGGGTTATTTTAAAATATCTAAATTATTCTAGAACTTGACATCTTTTTATTGCCAAAGCTTAGGTCCCATGAAGCCAAGAGGAGGCAAGAGCTTTTGTTTTAGATGTCTTGAGATTCCCAGTGAGCTCCTTAGACTCATTGAATAGCTGGCAGCAATTGTGCCAGTGATTAAGCACCGTTCTTTAGGTTTGTATATGGTGGAGCAAATGGCTAGTCTTGAAAAGGTTTTCCGACTTGGTCTTGCTAGCTCAGTGGGTTCCTATTCTATCATGGATGCTTTAAGAGTGAGTATATTTTTGTTATTGTTCTTATAAGAGAAAATCATGCTGTGTACATATTGCAAAGGGAGACTTTTTGAGTTCAATTCATGTTGGATTGTAAATGTGGTAATTGAAAGACATGATGCTATTATACTAAGGTAGAAAGCAGCAAGACACATTCTTGCTCAGATGCAACATGGGTTTTCTGGTCTTAGTGTGTGGTTTCATCACTTCATTAATAATAATTTTCTTTCCTGAATTAAAAAAATATATCTTTGAATGTTGTTTCAGGCTGGCAGATCTTTGGGTAGAACCCTAATTGCCGTCAAGGAAAACATCATTTTCCAGTCAATGTGCTGCGACCGCAGTTACGCTTTCACATAAGTTGTGAACAAAACTGTACTGTAGTGTTGAAAAAGGAAAGTTCTGGGCAGTCTGGTGCTTCTGGATTCTCACTGCAGTCGCATAAACGTTGACATTTTGTGACTAATGAGCAGGAAAAACAGCTCCTCATGACCAGAGTCCAACTTCAGCGTTGTTCACAGACTGACCCGGTAGAATGGCCGACTCTAATTCTCTCCGAGAGTTGAACTGTGACTTCCCAGAGCTGGCAGCAGGAGAAGATGGGGAGGCCACATGCCCCATCTCGACTTCTCATGTGTGCCTGACCACCCTCAGACTCTTGGCGCTTAGCTAGGTGTTCAGGTCACAGAGGCACTTAAGCAGAGGCCATTATGGAAAACTTCATGTACTTGAGACTGGCTAAATATCATTCACTATGGGGAGATTTTTAACAGGGGCAGGAATTGAGGAAGCTGATACCAGATTCCATTTGACCTAGAGATAAGGAGTAGGGGAGGAAGGAAAGGGAGAAGGGAGATGCTGAATAGACAGATTTGGTTTTAGTATTTTACATTATTAATGATAAAAACAGCAATCAGATTTAGTTTAAAAGCATTTAAAGGGGCTGGAGAGATGGCTCATTGGTTAAGAGCATTAGCTCCTCTTTCAAAGGACCCAGCGTTTCCAGCACCAACATAGCAGCTCGCAAGCCTCTGTAGCTGCAGTTCTAGGGGATCTGATGCCCCCTTCTGCCTTCCATGGGCATTGCAAGCATGTGGCATACATATATAATGCAAGCAAATACACACATAACATAAAATAAATGGTAAGTCTTTTTTAAAGGGATTTGAGTTTTAGAAAATACAGAGGTACATAGTGTATTTTTATGTTTCTGTGTATAACACATGGGAAGCCACTATATTAAAAATTTGTTCTAGGAAATTTAAAACAAAGGTGGTTTGAGAACTATTAACAAAGAGTTGCTGTGTTATATTCATTTTTTTTTTCAGTGTTGGAGACTGAACCCAGGCCTCAGCTATCATAGGCAAGCACTCACCACTGAGTTTTGAAGCTATAAAGATTTCTAATGGCAACATTTACAAACCCAGTCCAGCTTATAGAAAATCATGGTCCTAATTTGCTTTGGCTCAGACCTTCTTTTCTTCCAGGCCACAGAGTACAAAGTGAGTAAAATTCTGTTTATAAAATATTCTGATTTTTTAAAGTCCTATATCAAGAAGTATATCATTGCATAGATAAAAATATCTAACCTATTTCAAGCACTCCCTTTATGCATATACCAAACATGAACTTAGTGGCTTAAAAATTGGTTTCCAATTTAACTCTCATAATTACTTATTTTACTGAATTTTCTAGGTAAGGAAACAGACAGGCTAAGCAACTTTATTTACTAATACACAAAAGGCATGTCTCAAGAGTCCCTGAGCCCTAGTGAGTTAATCCCTGTCCCATCAGATGGACCATTGGACCACTGACTACATGTGCTGTCCCTACTCACATTAGTTTTATTATAGCTAGGGTTCTCATATTTGTTTAGTTACAGTTGGGTTTGGAGATACAAACTGCTTTGAGAGGGTAGAAAGTTCTTCCTTGTCAATTTCCAGGCAACACCATCAACTTTCTGTTACTGTAACAAATATTGGAGGCAGCCCAACTTACAGAGACAGAAGGTTTGCTTTGGCTTATGGTTTTGCGGAATTCCATCCATGAAGGCTGTCTTCATGGTTCATGATGCATTGAGCCTGTGGTAAGGCTTGTCAGCGTGTGGTGTGCATGGTGGAGCGAACACTTACTTCCTGGCCAGGAAGTAAAAGACAAGTGTCTGGGCTACCATTACCCTCATAAGGTCTTGCCCTTCCCAAAGGCAGGTCCCCATCTCCTAACATCTGCACCTTAAGATGTTTAATATCCAAACAGTACCATGTAACTACATGTTTCAAGTAAAGACTACAGTTACAGTGAGAACTGAAAAGTAAAGTTAGTTATGCAAAGTAATATATAGCATCTGTGTTTATAAAAGAAGAGTCCAGACAAACGTCTAACATGCTGACTATATAAACCCCACATAACCCAGAAGTAGCAACACAGTCGTAATCGCCATCTTATGTGCCCATCTTCACACGGCCATTTCATTGGTCCCGAAGTAAGTGCCAGCTTCCCACCGTCCTGTTTCTGCATCTTCCTGTATTAGGTAGCTAATTCCATCATGTTCTGAGTGAGAGTGACTGACAGACTACTTTGCACTCCGGAGTGTTGGACCAATACACCTCTTCCCTATTAGTGCAGATCAAAACCACAGGATTTTAAGGTTGAAGTCTTGCCTGGCTTAACAATTCAAGAGTCACCTTCCCTTTCTCTGTTCCATGTTTAAATGTGTCTTGTCATGAGAAGTATACCTCAGTGGCCCTCTCCAAACTGAACTTCTTAGAGTTTGCCTTAAAACAAAATTGTTTTGTTTTCTTTATTCTTTGATCATAACTGTACCCACAGGAACCACTTTTTTTTGCTTTCCACAGATTATATGCTTTGCATGTCATTATTTATATGACATCCATGTATTTGTTCCAAATCAAACAGCATTCTCTCTCTTCCTTCTTTCCTCCTTCTCTCCCCCCTCCTTTCTTCCTCTTTGGTTTCATTGAGACAGGGTATCACATAGTCTATGATTGCTTTGAACTCACTATGTAAACAAGCATGTCCTTGAACTTTGCTGGGATTACAGACATATGCATCATGCCTGATTTTATGCAGTGCTGGGACTTGAACCCAGGACCTTGTGCATGGTAGCCAAGCATTTTAACAACTGCGGTATGTCCCTGCACCCACTGATCACCAGGCTTGGTTTTAAATCCCTTTGCCTTTTGTGTTCCTTTTCTGGACAGCAATGCCCTGGTCTCTAGATCTCATGGCTTAGAATCATGGAATGAGTAGAGAGTAGACAACCATTCTGATTTAAGAGATGTAGTCCCTTGGACGTTCAAAAAAGATGTGGGTGAACTGCTCAAGAAAGGCCCGTGTGGGGACTCTGCTCTTCCAACTTTAGAATTCTCTCCTTAGAGTTTTGAAACATAGAAGACATAGCAAGGAGTCCTGAATAAGGCCTAGTTAAGCTCTAGAAGAACCTGGGGATGCAGGTGATTGGCATCCTGCATCCTTCAGGAAGGAGCAAGCCTTCCAGCCCAGGCTTCCCCAAGAACCGCAGGTTCTAAAATGCCAGACAAGGATGAATTGTAACAACAAAGCAAGGCGTGAGGCTACCACATGGGGAACGTCCAGGGGCTTCCACTCTGGCGCGACCCCGATCTCCCAGTGTGTTTTGTAGTTCGTCTTGCCATTGAGACCACAAAAAGGCATTTCGCCAGTGTTCTTTGAGAGCCCATCTCTGCAGGAACAGAGCAGGTGGCTCATTTTAGATAAGAAACTGTTCTGTGGGGCGGCCTGGTGGGAAAGCTATGGGAAAATCGGAAGCTCATCAATGTGGACGCCGGGATGACTTTGTAGACTACATAGAGCAGGTTTGAGAGCTTAAATGCCTACAGCCTTAATTCACCCTGCTGTGTTTTTATTTAGCCTCTACAAGTAATATCTGTTTGCCTTCAGTGTGAGGAGATAAATCACAACATTGTTTAAAATTGTTAAGTGCAGCACACCAGGCAGGCACAGACCTGAAGCCTGGCTTTGAAGACTCCCAACGGCAACATTGTGAAACCCAGTTCAGCCTGGGGAAAATCATGGTCAGATTTGGGTTTGGCTCAGAGTCTGCTTTCATCTCTCAGGTCACAGAGTGCAAAGGGGTAAAAAGATTCTGTAAATATTTTTATATTTTGAAGCATACTTTTATTTTTCCTTCTTGCAAAATTATTTGATTTTGTCCAAAGGATCTGGTGTATTCTAGAAAAGAGTCCTATTGCCTGTCACTAGAAAATGATTTCTTTCTCTTCATAGGCCCTTTATTATATTTAAAACAAATTACTAGCATATTTTAATTATACTTAACGATGATACTGATGATACTTTTATACACATAGACAATGTATTTCCGTCAGATATGTTTGCCCCTTACCCTTTCATGTCCCCTCCCCCAACTAGTCTCTTTGTCACCTTCCTTCTGCTTCTTTGTGGGGTGTGTATGTGTGTGTGCATGTGTGTGTGTATATGTGTGTGTGTCTGTGTGTGAGTATGTATGTGCATGTGTGTGTGTGTGTTTGTGTGTGTATGAGCTTCTCTGAGATTCATTACGATTGGTTACAGGATTGCAGGCACCTTGTAAATGACTACACTGCTGATAGAAAAGACCCCCCCTCCTCTCCCCATTCCTCTAAAAGGGGTAGGGCTGCAGGAGTGTTTCCTTCTTCCATGATGAGCTGTTGATGGGCCCACTCTTCTGCAAGTCTTACTCAGGAAATCATGGCTGCTGTGACTAGAAAACAGTTTTTTAACAGAGTTCAAACCCATGACTGTGATTTCCAAGAACGTCTTGTCAGAAACTGAGACAGGCTTCCATTGCCTGTAACATTAGAAGGCGATTCTCTCTTTTTTTCATGTCATTGAAAATCTAGTTGATTTGCTTTCCATAGCCATTTACAAATTTTCCTTCACACAAAGTCCTTTGAAACTTCTTAGCCATCTCAGCCAGAGGGATATTCAGGCATGGAAAGTTGAATCCCATAGCAAGCTGACTTTATGCCCACCTATGACTTGTCTGACTTTCAGTTTCTGCACTTGTCACGGCGGGAGATGATGCAGCTCAGTCAGCAGAGTGCTTTCCTGGCAAACAGAGAGTCTTGGGCTTGATTCCCAGCACGGCACAGAACCAAGCGTGGGAGTGCACACCTGTGGTCCCAGGCCTGGGAGGCAGAGGCATGAGGAGCAGAAGTTCAAGGCCATCTTCACCTACTTAGCAAGTTTGAGGTCAGCCTGGGCAACATGACACCTTGTCCCCAGTGACAAAGTCAGTTTTCACACTCTGATTATGGACAGTAGCACCTGTTTTGCCTATTCCCCATAGATCCTATTAGAATAACCCAAATAATGTATTGACAGCACTTAAAATATGCTAAGGGAACAAAGTCTTCAGTGCGGAGTGACTGACCACCGGATAGGCATTCATGAGTTTGTTGACTTCCTAAGTCAGCATTGTTGTCCACGTGCAAACCCACCTCAGAGCTTCAGCCTTATGCATCCAGGACTCCTAGGTCTGAAAGTGAAGGGATCAGAGGGTTTCTAGGTCACTTCCCTGCTGTGGGATGACCCTTCTGTATGATGTGAATATGCGTTGCTCTCATTGGTTGATAATAAAAGCCGCTTTGGCCTATGGCAAGACAGAATATGCCTAGGTGGGAAAGCGAAACTGAATACAGGGAGGAAGAAGGGTGGAGCCCAGGGAGCGATGGCTAGTCACTGAGGAATCAAGATGAGGTAACACCACAGTCATGTGGCAATATATACATGAGTAGAAATGCCCAATGTGGGGCCAAAATTTCCTCATCAAACCTAGCAAAGCTTTAAAAAGGATTCTAACCCCCCCAGATACAATAACAACAAAGTCTAAAAGTTTATCTGGGTATAAAACAACCTCTAGCAGAACACCAGCCAGAACCCTGTTCCTCTAAATATCCAACTGGGAAATAATAGTTTCATTTTTCCCCTGTGTTTCTTGTAGCTCCTCATCCCCCTCTAGGCTTCTGCTAGACTTTATAGTTTTAATCTCACGATCCTGGATATTCCACTATTTCTCTACAAATAAGTGTTTGCCTGCACAGTGAAGAAGGATGTCCTTTTTCTGAGCTCTCTATTTTTTTGGTACACTGTAGTGTTTGGAATCCAATTCACTGCTAGGGGTAAATCACAGCCCTTTAGAACTTTCTTTAAATCATTTTATAATACAAGAACCATGAGCCTTTCCAAACTTTTCCAAGGTTTCTCCTGAGAAGTGAGAATCCTCACTCAAGCTGTTCGAAAACATCCATGCATGTATAGATTGTTTTCTTACTTTATTTGTTGCCAGAAAGAGGCCGTTCTCCTTAGATGAAAGGCGAGGAGACAAGACCCGTGTGTTGCCATATCCAAAGTAAAGGGACCAGAGGGTTTCTAGGCAAACATCATAAAAGATGCCCTGTTTTAACTAAGTGGGCAAGGAGCACATTTCTTGAACAGCCTTTTT